AAATGCAGAGAAATTGTATTTTTAAAAACGTACCAACTTTTGGTTCATCCTCATATTTAGTCTGACATAGTGATTTTCTAAATAGCAGTTTTCATAAAAATTAATAGAATCGAATGTTTCCAATTTCTCACGATTGTCGTCGAAGGACTTACGCTCGATAAAATTGCTATTCCGTTCGCGAACGGTACTTGAAATAATAAAGCAGGGCCTTGTTAGCAATTCCTGTTCTCCGCCGCGTGACACGTCCATAAGAATTTCGTTCCCAAAGCGTAGGAGTCGTTTGTTTGCGTCCACGCTCCGCGTCGAACCGTTTCACGAATTTTCTACCTGTGGCCTCTCAGGAATCCGAGAAGGGTTCTCCCTACAGCTTTTAATTCCATTATTCATCGAATAAGAAAGGATGAGTCGATCGTTTTCAGTGAACTTTAGGAATCCGATATTTTCATTTATTAGAATTCTCGACAAATTAATCTCGTTTCTCCATAGAAAATCATCCAACAATATCATAAATTTCTATTATTGCAACAAGCGTTTACGTTGCTTTGTGAATGTTTTCCCATCTCCCCCGCAGCTGATTCTTAATAGCGTTATTAAATTACACGAGACGATGTTTGAACAACCCCGATCGTTCAGCTGAGAACAAACTGTTTTTAAATCGTTACCGCGTTTCCTAATTTTATCGCTTCGCTGAATAATAAAAGCTGAAACAGAAACCGCAGGATTATTCGCCAAACGCGTGAAAGCGTTCCGTCCAGTGACCAGCACAATGTTCCCTTGACTTCACACTACCTACCGCGTCGAAGCCGACGGGCTATCTAAACCGACGGTGCCGTAAATAAATGAATTGTTCGGAGATAATGCAACTAAGCCCCCCTCGCTTTCTCTCCTTTCCCGAGGATCGGGATAAAGGGAACGGGGAAACAGGTAAAATCGAGGGAACCTGCACGTTTCATTCATCCCCGTCCCTCTCGTCAAAGTACACTCCCTATCAAAACGCAAACAGTAAATAAATAGAATAAATAATATAAGTTTTCTTGTATTAAATTATACATGCAATATACGTGACATTTTATTTATCGATTTTAATTATTGAATTCTATACTTTTTAGCACGTAGCTATTTATTATTAGCATTATTCTTCCGATTTCTTTTTAATTATAGGAAATGCGTTTTTCTAAGGTACATAATCTTTTGATATTGACTATATAGCCAATACATCCTTAATTCATTTGTTAAATTTAATAAATTATCCCAAAATCTGTTTAACTTCTGGGGAAGAGTGTATCTATCACCTGGCGACCTTTATCTGGAATCTGGCCGGTTAACCCACTTTTGTTAGCTCCGTGACAGATCGGTGGAAGAGAGATTACCATTACCTCTGGCACACGGCTTCGGCCTTGTTGCCTCTCAAGAATTTTAGAGCCTGCCCACGGCGGTTTTAATCATGGATTACGGCCCCTTTGATTAATTTTCCTGAAGAGAACGTTGGGCCCAAGTTCGGACACGTGGAAAATCAGATTAACTCCCCCTAATCTCTATCGAGGGTCTTCGAACCCTCGGGAACATCGTTTTCGAACCTTTCGAACGATTTATGGAAGACGTATTTTATACACACTAGAGAGATTACTAAGAAATTTCACATTTCTTGTACGTATTTGGACAGATAATAAATTATTATAGTAAACGTGGAATGGTTTCGTACAAATTGAACGATATTTGAGAATCAGATATTTTTCATTTACTTCGTACGGTTCGGATTGTATGATACACGCTGCGAGCATTACTTTCTCTTGTCACCGCGTGATTGATACGTTGATATTGTGAGAGGATGAGAACGCGATGATGTTAATTGCGAGGCGAGGGGAAATTGAACGGTTTTGAAAGCGTTGATTGATTAATCGGTAATTACGTACTTATGTACGAATCCATTGATAAACGGACCGCGATGATTGCACACAGTCATTTATTCACGCGGCCGGTAATTCTTAAATCAGCTATTAAGAATGCTAATTTCCTCGAATTTGAATTAATGGATCGCCCGGTACAGAAGAACAATATATTTTAAATTTCGATCACCTGACTCTTCAATTGCAATCAGAAGCTTATCAAAATTCTTATAATGTACATTTCCCTATCAAGCCTGTCTCTTAATTTTTAATCTCTTTTAATTGATTTCTATGTTTCTGTTGCAGATGATAGCATGCGAGTATTTGTACACGAGGCATTCTAACGCGGATTCGTCCAAGATTTTATTTGGTTACAACATACCCACGTGGATGTGGGGCGCCTATGAAAAGGTACGTTCTGAAAAAATATTTCTATTCTATAGGCGAACCCTTCTGAGCGTAGATATTCAAATCTTGACACCCTTAAGGATCTTCCCATGCTTTTAACACCTTCTCCCCTTTATATGCTTTCACGAGATTTACGATTTCTATCAGTATTTAAATATTCTGTATAGTTTCAATTTTTAATGTAGACTCTAATTTAATTTCCATTTTCAGACACACATGAAAAGTTATAAAATTCACAATACATATTAAAATAAGATATATTGTGGTGATAAAAGTCTGTTGTTTCAAGAGATTTTTCTTTTTCGTTTCAGATCGGTATTTTCGGTTTCGGAGCAGCGACCTGCGTTTTGATCACCGACATCGCCAAATACACGATCGGCCGGCTGAGGCCTCATTTCATGACTCTTTGTGTGCCTAACGTGAATTGCAGCTTGATCGAAAATCAGCACAGATACATCGAGAACTACTCGTGCACGGAGAACATCTCCGCCAGGCTTCTAAAGGAGATCAGGTAAATATTATTCTCTTACGAGAAATTTTGCGTGCTCCTTTTATCAAACAACCCTAAGCAAAACAAAATGACGGCAAAGAATAATAGTTCTCATTTACGAACCCATTAATCAAACGTCATTTTAATCTTTTAATATACAAATGGAATTCATTCCTGAAATCGATGTTACAAAAGTTATTTTGTATAGAAAACTGTCTGTCTGTCTGTCTGTCTGTATGTCTGTTGTTTTGTATTTGTGATGCGCGGTTGGTTTAAAGTCGCTGAGTGCGGTACGAACGTTTCTGGATCGGGGAGATCTCGAATCGAGGATCTTCGGGGCAATAGCCTTTCGGTATCTGAGATCGTGAAACGTCGAATCGCGTGACGGTAACAATTGCGGACGCGGTCGCGGAACGGCGAACGGTGGAATTAAAGTTGATGGAAAGGAACGATCGCTTTCGTTATTTTCTTCCACGCTTAACGACCGGAATGCAGGCCATTGAAAAAAGGCCACTCCTTTCGTCATCCAGTTCGTTTGCTCTTCGTCCGAATTATTAAACCCGGTTCCACACAATTGTCTCATTCGAAGGAATTCAACAATCGCTCGAAGAATTATTCCGATTATTAAACATATTTTAAATTATCAAGCGTGTTCACAGATGCGTTTCTAATTATCTTCGGGGGCAAAGTTAATAGAATAAATGTAAAACGACAAGCAAAAGAATTATTCGACGATTAGAGCAATTATACAGTTTATTAAAAAAAAAAAGTTCGATGGTGTCGTTAGCGAATTGGAAAGAGCAGAGGAAACTCGGTCGTGCCTTCTCCCCTCGAATCGTTATTCAATAAACCTTCAATTGGCTGACGTCGACGATCCATCGAACAACTTCGACGGCGCATCTCCGCAGCAACAATGTTATCGCCCTATTTCATTTAGTCGGAGGCACGCCGCGCCACGGTTCGCGAACATCCTATTCCACGCTCTTTGCTCTCTCTTCTCTCGCGTCAGATATAATCGCTTCGATTCTCTAGGCTAGGCGTTTATTACGTATTTACCCGGTGGCTTTGTGTGCACGCCGTACCAACATTAACAACGGTTTGTTCTTAGCGAAACTCGGTCGCGCTTCTTATCAATAAGGCTGTTTTTGTCTCACGTTTCGAGGAATCGACGTCCGTATTTCATCGCATTTTGGACACGCGTCTCTCGATTGCCAAGTGAAATCAATATTTAAATACATTTAATAAGTCTGATCTATCGAAACTATGAGAATTATGTTCGAAAGAGCATTTCGATGAGAAACACTGTTTCGATATCGGTAATCACTTGGGTTCCCGGGCATCTAGACGTTATTTGCCTGCGAGCCTTCGTGCGTTACGCTATACCGAGTACGCGGTTTTATTCGCAACGGAATTCGTTCGTACTTTTTGCCCGGGCCCGGCAGCGGCTCCGGGGCTGGGCCGGTTTCAACGGATACGAGCCGAGGGCGAAAGAAGGGCCCGGGCGAATGACAATGAGGAGCGGCTTTGTGCCGGTGGCGATTCGCATGACCGGGATTCGATCCGAATCCTGGGGCTGCAACGGAAACGCTGTTACACGCACGAATTACTATGAACAGTTCTACTTCCCTGTCGTTCTCACCTATTTAAGTTAGCAAGCGTTTCACCCCGTTTATAAGTAGACATGGTATCAGATTGTCAATTTTAGGAGCAAAAATATCGAATTTTTAAATGTTAATAACTAATTAACGAAGCCCCAAATGCAATTTTCTCTCTCTTCATTTTCGTCTTATTTTTGACCATAGAACACGTCCTTAAAATATTGCCCACTAGTAGGTTTACACCCTGTATAAATCCATTATAGTTACTGCAATATTCCTAAATCATATAAAACTCGTCATGTTTTAATCGACGGATGTCTCAATTAAAATTCCTCATTAAATTCCAAAATTACTTTGTTGTATCATCAACAGTAATCAATTAATTACTTTAAATCACAAGAGACGATGAAGTTTCGTCATTTAATTACACTTAATTATACACGATTCTCATAATAATTATACAGGGTTGGCCGGAAATCGTAGTACAACCGTTAAAAAAGAAAATATTTTAGTATAACATTTTTTCATCCGGAGCTCCGTTTTCGTAAAAATCGATATTAAAGTTTGTTCAACTTGTAAACGATTTATATTTGCGGCAGTGAGATTACTACTGCAAGCTTCCAAAGCAAGCAACACAACAATATACTCCCGATTAGAATATCTTGTCATAGTTTAGCGATGACTTAATCAGACGAAGGTAAATGAGAAGAAGCGAACTATTACGCAGTTTGATAAACTATAACTGATTATTATTATCTTTATTTGGAAAATTGAAATTCATTACATGTTAAAATTAGAAACTTTTATTTGTTCCTTCTTTTTCAAATACTTCGGTCTTTTATCAGATTTGCGATTCTGTTTGTACCAGCATAAATCAGAATATTTACGCTAGTCGCTGCAGGGTTCGAACCCTAATTTTACTGAAATTCGATTCGTCAAACCGTCAGTCTTTTAACTGGCAATGCGGTGAATTATTTTAAAGTGGAGTTGGGTCTGTAATCTTGGAGTATAATTTTCTGGGAGCGTGCGTTGTTCTACGTTAGACACCGATTAAAGAACAAGAAGAGGGAGCGTGTTGAGATTAGCTCCCGGTTTTTGGCAGTATAATCGATGGCTGTCCAAGTAAATGCATGGGTTCTGTTCTCTGATTTATTTCAGCGAGACTGGTTGCAACTGTCTGCCGTGGAAAATGATAATCAATTTATTTAACGGAGTCTTATAAAGCTTTTCGGCTGCAACGGAGATTACAGATTTTTTTAAGCTACATCGTATATAAATCTGTGCTGGTGAAATAAAATCGGACATGATAATGACACGCAATTTCCATTAGCATTTTTTATACTAACCGACAATATTTTCAACTGGCTTGCTAACGCGAATGCAAATAACGCGTAATGCCGTGCAATTATGCGTGAAAGCTGATACATAACTCTTTTCCTTTTTTACACAATAATTTGCTACATATAATTACGCGTGAAAGTCGAAGGGTATATCAAAATGTCAGTGATAAATATGCCGCGTAAATGTTTGTTAACATTAGCAGGTCGCTCCAGGAATAAAGATTGCCCTTGCACGTTTCGTATGAAGTATATCAACGGATTTATGCTTCTGGAAAATGAATAATCGATTTTAATTCTGAATTCCGGTTCATTGATTGATGATTGATTGATTATAAAATTATCTCGTTGTTTTTTTAATTGTTACATTTCATAACAAAGAGAGAATAAACGTTTGGCAGACATTTAAGATTGCATGAACTCTTACATAAAAATAATGACAAAGTATTGATATCTTAACAATTATTAAATATTACATTAATAAAAAACTGTACAAAATTTTAGAAATTTTGGGAGTCTATTAAAAAAGTTATTATA